TAAGAGAGTGTATATGAACGTGCTTCCTCAACCATCGCATTTGGATTCGGTAAACCCGGTTGTTATGGGCAAGACGCGCGGGATCCAGGATCGCCTTGCGGATGACCAGGATTCCACAATGATGCTTAACGTGCATACGGATGCGTCCTTTGCCGCTCAGGGAACGATATACGAGACATTAGGGCTTTCAGGTTTGCCCGGGTACACCACTGGCGGTACGCTGCGCGTGATTGTCAACAACCAGGTTGGCTTCACAACGGATATGTGGCAGGCAAGGTCGACCCCATACTGCACTGATGTGGCCAAGATGTTGGATGCACCAGTGTTCCATGTTAACGGAGACGATGTCGAAGCGGTTTGCTCGGCGACGATTCTTGCAGCTGATTTCCGTGCACAATTTAAGAAAGATTGTGTGGTCGATATCATTTGCTATCGGCGCAACGGACACAATGAGATGGATCAGGCTTCTTTCACTCAGCCTACCATGTACGAGCGGATTGCTGATAAGGCGCATATTTTGGACCGGTACGAGGCAAGGCTGATTGAGCAAAGCATCGTAACACGTGAGCAAGTGGATGGAATGAAAAATGATGCTTGGGACAAACTTACGCAGTGTCTGGAAAAGAGCGGCGATTTAAATCACAAGCCTGATGCGCGCGAGTGGCTAATCGACTCTTGGAAAAGTGTAAAATCACCCATGGAGTTAGAAAGAGAGACACTGCCACAAAAGGTCACAGCAATTGGCCATCAGGCTGTGGAGACTGTAACCCAAAAGCTGGGAGCTGTGGTCCCCGAAGATTTCGTGCTACACAAGAATCTAGAGCGTATCCTCGTTCGTCGCAAGCAGACTGTCGACTCTGGAACGGATATTAACTGGGCAACAGCTGAGGCTCTCGCTTTCGGCACACTATTGCAGGAGGGCACAACTGTCCGTCTGTCCGGGCAAGATGTAGAACGAGGTACCTTCTCTCAGCGACATTCAGTCCTCCATGATCAACAGTCCAACCAAACTTACACTCCGCTGAGTACCCTCGGTGAAGGGCAGGGCCTCTTCAGCATTACCAATTCGTCGCTGACCGAAAATGCTGCGATGGGTTTCGAGTATGGCTATTCATTAGCTGATCCAAACGCGCTAGTGATATGGGAAGCACAATTCGGAGACTTTGCCAACAATGCTCAGTGTATTATCGACAATTATATTGCATCATCTGAAGAGAAATGGCTCCAAAGGTCGGGAGTGGTCCTTTCCTTGCCACACGGATACGACGGCCAGGGGCCGGAGCATACATCAGCTCGATTGGAGAGATTCCTGCAACTAGGCAATGAGGACTCAAGGTCTTTTCCATCACCTGAGCAGCTGCAGCGGCAGTATCAGGATTGCAATATGCAAGTGGTGTGTATGACCAGTCCAGCCAATTACTTCCATGTCCTGCGCCGGCAAATCCATCGTGAATTTAGAAAGCGTATATCTTCCTCTCCCTTTCCCATAGAAACGTATGACAGAGCACTAATTGAATCATTAACCCAGCACTTATCATCCTGTTCTCCAAATCTCTGCTCCGTCATCCGCTTGCTCGCTCGGATATCCGAGATTTCACTGAAGTGCCTTATTTCCAACCTCTACTGTCTGAGACTGAGCACGGAAAAACCATAAATGACCCCCAGGGTATTAAGCGTGTCATTTTCTGCTCGGGTCAGGTCTATGCTGCTCTCTTCAAGCACCGTGAAACCCATGATCTGAAGGATACAGCCATCACACGAGTCGAAGAACTCCATCCCTTCCCTTGGGAACAAGTACGGCAGAACCTGGATACTTATCCCAACGCAAAGGATATCATCTGGTGCCAAGAGGAAGCACTAAATGGAGGTTCCTGGAGCCATGTGATGCCGCGCATGGACCTCATATTGCAAAGGACGGAGAGCCACGGAGACAAGAGGGTGAGGTTTGCAGGGAGAGACCCGGCATCAGGTGTGGCTGTGGGGTATAAGGTACTGCACGCACTGCAGGAGGAGATTCTACTGAATGATGCTTTTCAAATTAAATAGCTAGTTAGCCCTGACTGTTTCAGTCTCACCAATATTGAGCTAGATTTCCCGAGTTAATAGCGTCCCGTATATAGTGGTCCTAAGAAATGGATTGGATTTTGTCGCAAATTTTCAGTGTCGTTTTTGTTCGAGACGTCTGATATACTATAGGGCGCAGTCTTATAAGCACCACACCCAAGAATATCTTTGGGAAGCCTTCGGATGCAGTAAAGTAGTCCTCGAATCGAAATGGACGCCAAATATGTCTTCGGCTAGCTCGCTGAAAATACCGATATATACACGTATAAGACCGTGAGCGATTCACGATAGGTTGAAAAGCTCCCACATGAGACCATCAAAATCCGGCACGCCTGTCAATCCAAATGTCTCCTCAAATGCGGAGTCGTCAAATAGTTGTAGTGAGTCCGATTGTTCAAGTGTAGCGTCCAGAAACCCTGTGTTAAAAACACCAAAGCCGGCAGGGTTTGTATCCAAATCTATGAGCTCCTGTTGCTGGTTTGTTGCGGTTTTTCCTAAAGGCAATTGGGAAGAGATATTAGGACTTTGTTGGATATTATTCGTAGTCCGTATCCTTGAACGAAGCCGAGGAGTAGCCGTTGACTCCGCTGAAGCTCGAGTTTTCAAGAGTCGCCTCATGGTCACACCTGAGATATCATCGATGCAGTCCCTAGCTCTCTGGGCTTCAAGCCAATATTCGCCGATACTGCTCAGAATATTGAGAGCCGTAGTTATATTTTTTGAGAGTTCATCTATTTGTATGTTTGTCGAAATATCAGGCAACTTCCAAATACTATGAAGTACCACAAGTGTGCCCAGAAAAATGGAATGGACAACCAGTCGGCTGTACTGCAGCGAGTCATGCCTATACAGCTCCCTGAAGCTTTCCAACAGCTCCATCGCGTGTCTGAAACATGAGTTAGAAGAATCTTCGGATGGGTCTGGAATGGCTGGGCTGGGGCGCAAGACTAGTATCATCATCTCATGATATTTGATTTCGCAGAGCTTGGCGCACATGTTTTTGATATTATCAGTATGTGGTATCTCGGCCTTCCAGGTTTGCAGACGCTCCAACATCTCCCTTTGCCAAACGAAAATGTCTCGAATAGGTGGGTAGGCGTAGGCTGGTGGCTCTCGAGATATACTGTGCATAACATACTTGATCTCCGAATTTAGTCTGGCGGCTTTAAATAGGTGTATGCCAAATGATATATGAGAAGGTGGCTGTTCAGGGGTTCTTTCTTGGGCGTCAGGTCTCATCAGCTCAAGGTCCGAGATGTCCATAGGAAGCTAGACCTATTAGTTCCATGCACACAAGTTAATCAAATATAGGCGAAGTACTCACACGTAGGTCGCACGCTTCGTCCCGGATACCCACCGGTCGCCCCATCATTGTCCCTATCGTCCGGTCAAACGTATACACCACCCAGAAAACCCGGGTTCTCATTTCCTGTTCCAACAGAGATATTTTCAGAGATGGTGTGTTTCGTATATCCCGCTGTAAACCTAAATCTATAAGAGAAGCCAAGCACTGGTAGTTGAGGTTCCATATATTGATTCCACAAGATGGGTTGTGGAATCCATACACCATGAGTAATAGCAATGACTGCAATCCACCCAAGGTTCCATCCGGAGACATATTACTAAAATGCTGCATTGCTGTGGCATAATAGCCCTCAGCAGGGAGGCGGACTTTGGACCTCCGTGAAAGATCAGTGGCAGCAATAGCCATAACCATGTAGACCTGAAAGGCCACTATTGGGCTGACATCTTCCGACGAGTACATTTGATCTATATAGCTCATATGGGATGGCTGGTGCAAAAAGGGATAAATGATGTGAATGGTTTCAAAGTACTTGGCTGACAATTCGGCAGCAGTTTCTCGTCGTGGGGGCAAAGAAGTGGGTGTATGAAGAATCTCTGCCGCGAGAGCGGTCGACTCTCCTGATAGTGATCCTGCAGAATCATTGGCAGCATTTCGTCGCTTCTGATGCCGACCAGCACTAGAGAATACGAGATTGGCAAAGAAATATCCGCTTGAAGGCCCAATATAGCGGGGTTCGCCTCCAGGTGAGAGCGAGACAAGTCCTATCTCGTGGGCTTGACGAGATTCCATCCGAGAGAGAGACCGCAATGGATGATGTGGCCCACTTTGGTATTGCTGTGTGCTTTGCCCCGAGCCCTGTTCCTCGCTTGCGGCAAGCTCTCTCTGAGGGCTCAGGATAGACGTTTCCTCGTGGTCCTCAATCAAGACTGGCTCTTCCTCTTGGGCAAGGTTGTCTCTGGACTGTTCATCCAAGTCAACGTTTGGACAACTTTCTTTTACTAGTGTTTCCAGCCATTGTATTCGTTTCTCCATGCTCGCGATATACCTATTGAAGGTCAGAATGTGTAATGATCTAGGGCCAGGCTATGCACTAACGAGCGCTGAACAAGCTGCTTGCCATCATTGATACAAGGGGTGTTAGCCTTCTGGCATGACCCACAGCGAGGAGTTTGCCCATCGCACTGTATTAGCCGGCGTCAGCTGCAGAAGCTCGCAAGTTATAGAACAGAAACATACGCGGATCTTCCGTCGTTGACAGCGGCGGCACGCGGCGCGATTCCGATTCCTCCTCGGCGAATCCATGGTAGTGATGGTATTCACACATATATATTATATATATAGTGAGTATATTTTAATCGGCATAATACGCTGGAATTGATTGATAAAGAACGATTGTGCAACGTGCTCCAGCCAATGATCGGAAGAAGGTTGGAAGAGAAAAGATGGAGCCTTCGAAGTGGTGAAAGGGAGACGGAGTTCTTCCGCTGGGACGAAGCGGATCACTTCCGAACGTCCGGTTAGCTCTAGACACTGGGGTCTACATGAAGACCAAATATGATTGCAATGTACATAATTAAAACAATGTACTTCTGAGACTACCTTCAAATTCCGCACTCTTTTCTTCATCTATTTATGTTTTCTTTTCATTGCTTAGCAGACACAAGTCCCATGGGAATTGTCACCGTTCCCCAAGAGATGACTACTGCTTCTCTTCCGCCGCCCATGGATTGTCAATAGAAGAATGGTAATAGATGCTTATATAGACTCCGATCTTCTCCGTAAAGGCAAAAGAAATCCAAGATGTCAGACGGTCCGTCTTCTCAAGATCATTTTCAGGGCTGTCCAGTTCAAATTTGATTAGCGTCTATTCAATCATAAGAAGAATGACTTACAAGTAAGATTGAATCATATCCAAATAGGATTTACCTATGTTAACCATGCCAATTTCCTCCATGAAATGTGCAATCCCGATAGCAATTTTTAGGTCATTCTCACCATGCACAGGTAAGTAGATCTTGGTCAACGGCGATGGATCTCCGCTTCGCATCTCGTAATTCCACATCAACGGGGTTGTCTTGGAGGTGTCGCTTCGATCGTCATGTTCTACTTTAATCTCAAGCTCTCTGTCCGGGATCTGGATATGGTCAAAGAGTTGCAAGAGATACCGCAACCCGTTGTCCACAGATGGGCCCTGCAGCCGAGAGCCCAGGGACCAGACCTCTTCAAGCTTCGCCCGCGTCATACTGGCTGAGCACATATAGACCTTGAGGCGACATTTTAACGGCTCGATGCAGTCCCATGAGAAGAAAGTATACGGGTTATATGAGTTAGACTCTTGCAGGTAACGGTCCACCATTGAAAACACCTCAGCGCAGTCTACTTGCCTCTGTAGGTCTTTAACCGTGTTGGTCAGTAATTCTCGTGAAGACTGCCCAGATACTTTGCATTTCAATCCCGGAAAGGCATAGACTTTGACCGATATAGGACCATCTCCGACAAAGTCAAAACCGAACAGTGTTTGCGTTCTCACATATGTGTCATCGACTCTGTTCTTTTCCAGTATGACTTTTTCGGTCGCATTAATATGTATGTTTCGAGAGACTGTATCCCATAATCGCGAATCGAACCCTTTGAGATCCAGTTCCGACAAGGTGGAGAGAAACTCCTTTGCTATATCTCGATCGTAGGCAATAGCCTCGGTACCTCGCGCTCCACTGAGGGGCTCAAAAGCTATACGAACAGTTGGTTGCTTTCCATGTTGTTGGTAGTTGGCACTAAACTCCACAGGAAGACCACTCCGGGTAAGAGTACTTCGAACAACTTGTGGATAGGGCCCCAGAAAAGGAACAACGACACGGGCGTAGAACTCAAGATACTGGTGTTGCCGCTCGATGCTATAGTTTGACGATATCAGAAGCTTCACTAGGATTGGGCCAGTTTTGCACCACCATTGCTTCCAACTCTCATTCGGAAATTTGAGGGTTTCAGTCAAGGATTCAAATGATGTGGGATTTAGTGAGCAAGGAAAGTGCATCGTGGTTCGAGAGGCCACTTCTGGGGGGTGAATACAAGACCTCAAATGGAGCTTCTATGGGGTCGCTGAAAGCTGAGCTTGATATGCAACGGTACAAGATAAATGAGATTGTCTTGGGGTCCGTTCAAAACTTAGTTAAGTGGCTAATGAGCAAACAAGTCAGATTGTGATCTAGACTACCTCGTAATTCTACAGCTTAATGTAACTCGGAGCAGGCCGAATCCATATAAACAGCAGTCCGGCAAACAACACCGTGACCGTTGCTTTGGTAATAACGTCACAATTCCAGGCATATAGATGGAGTATTAGATTACTAGATCCTTATAGAGTAAATAGTGTAACCCTCTACCAAGACCAACTCTCCATGGCTTGGTTTGCATATGTCTTCATAGACCAAATGAGGAGCCGCTATGAAGTTTAACCACATCTGATGCTGCAATAAAGCACAAGCAATGCCCCATCCTACAGACGCCCTATAATTACCACGCGAATAAGATTGTAGGTGGTCAAACCAACGGACTTCGGGGGTATTTTGACGCCGATGAACGAATCAGTCGGCATATCGTGGATGTCGAATTTTTGGGGGGGCGGGCTCGGTTCTAGCGTACAGCTCTGTGATACCTTGTGCGAGGATGCGTCGGTGAACATGTTAGCTGGGGAGGATGAGTCAGAGGGATGTACAATACACAGCTACTACTATTCATATACTACTAGTACTATGTACAAGAGGTTTACTACTAGTACTTCCACGGTATGCTTCTCAACACCTGATTGGTCACTTACGCAGCAATCACGTGGCTCGGAAATATTAATCGCATCTTAACTTGACTCTTTCATTCCAAAGTCTCATCACAAACCCATAGACTTATATGCCTCATGGCTTCAAATTGGAGTCGCGAGTCCTATCTATGGACCGTTTCATAACCCGGAAGAGGCCACGGCCCAGCTCACCAATCCCGCAGGCGGCATCACCATCAGAATCGCCACTCCTGGATGAGGACTCAACAGATGTAAAGCTAGCACTCCTCGTCTCACTTTTCCCAGATATTGCACAGGAGACCCTCCTAGATGTTCTCGTTTCAGGTGGTGGGTCGGTGGAAGTCGCCGCATCTATGATTGCAACACAAATCCCTCCCACCAAGAAGCGGGTGGTGCCGGGTACACCATCTATACAGACGTCTTTGACGTCCCTTGTCCTCCAACCAGACGAGGGGAAAGAGTCACCCATCAAACGAAGACCACTGACTAAGAAGGGGAAAACGCTACATCTATACTCCCCAGAGGACGTCGCGGCCCACACGCCATGTACAATCATCCACAATTTTCTTCCAGCGGAGCAGGCCAGTGCACTCCTCCTAGAGCTTCTGGAGGAATCCAAGTATTTTTCTAGATATAAGTTTCAGCTATTTGATCGAACAGTTGAGAGTCCTCACTCAGCTAGCGTATACGTTTCTACACCGGAGGAGTACCGCCAGCACACATCAGAATACACGTACGGCGGGACCTACCGGTCGAATGTGCGTCAGATCACGCCGCATATGCAAGCTGTTTCCGCCAAAGTGCAATGCACTGTGAACGATGAAGTACGTCACCGGATTAAAACCTTCTACCCCGGCGGAGAAAAGCTCAAGTACCAGTCTCCGAAAGAATGGATGCCAAATGCCGCATTCGTCAATTGCTACGATGGTCCTACGGAGAGCGTAGGGTATCACTCGGACGAACTGACTTACCTTGGTCCGCGAGCCATCATCGGTAGTCTGAGCTTAGGCGTAGAACGAGAATTCCGCGTCCGGCGGATCGTACCCAACAATGATGATGAAGAGACCCCTCAAAGTGAAAAAGACACGCCTGCACCACAACCTGAGCCGAAGCAGTCACGAGAGGCATCTGACGTTCGCGCTGATGCTCAAGGTCAAATTTCCATTCATCTCCCCCATAACTCTTTGCTGGTTATGCATGCCGAAATGCAAGAAGAGTGGAAACATGCCATCGCACCTGCCCAGACAGTCTCACCACACCCTCTTTCCGGAAACCGCCGCATTAATATCACTTATCGCTGGTATCGCGACTCCCTTCATCCACGGAACACCCCTCGTTGTCGGTGTGGTATGCATGCCATTCTGCGCTGCGCTCAGCGCAAAAGGGAAACTAGAGGGAGGTATATGTGGACGTGTTATGGAGGCTTTGCCCCTGGCAAAAAGAGCTGCGGTTTCTTCCAGTGGGCTGAGTTCGATGACGACGGGGAACCAGTCTGGAATAAGAAGCAGTCTGAAGATAATGCGCCTATCTTGAGAAATTTTGTAGTTGAGTAATATCATTGTTAGGATAGTGATCGAGGTAGTCAATTCTTATTATAGTCTTCGCATTTGCCTGCATCATACTCCAACTGTATTACTTATTGCATGGCGAATCTCTGCCGTTGCAAAACTAAGAAAAGAGATGGTGCGTTTTAAAGCCTGTATCACACCTCCAAAGTTGAACAAAAGTTAAAGAATCACAAAATTCATCCTTGATTATAAACCATTAAGTATAGGACCAGGGTACGGATGAAGCATAGGAATTTTACCCAGCCTGCAAGTGACGAAGCAACCACCATCTCTTAGCTAAGATTGACTCGGCCAGCAGCAACTAATCCTCCGGTAACAGTCTGCAACACCAACCGGTTGACATCTAGTAGTAGTCGAGTACTCATCTAATCAACGGTCCGAAATTGCGAGTCACGGATCAGGATAGGGATAACGGCGTGGTTCAGGTACATCGTCTTTATTTTCTTCAGCTGCCTCCCGTCGCCGAGAATATGGAACCAAAGCCCTCCTTCAAACCATGTCCTTCTCCTGGTCTGGTTCCTGTTTTACACAGGGCGCCGGTGGAGAGATTGTTATATCGGGGATGTCAGAACTGCCGCGAGCAGCGGCTCTCTCCTTCTGTCTCTCCTGAGGATTGATGCAAAAAAGATAGTGAGTGTGAAGCCGACCACTGCAGGCCCCCGAAAGAGCCAGAGCCATCATGAAGATGACGCCGATAAGGAATATCGGAATAGTAACTAATCCAATGACGACGAAGGTATCGTAATTCTTAGCCATGCTTGCAGGTATATTTACTTCGATGGATGCGGCGGGTATTCGGTATGCAAAGAGCTATGAGGATGTTTTTGGTAGGTAATGGACAGATCTTGAAGAGAAGCCTTCTACCCCGTTGCGGAAAATCGTCGATATACATAAAACAGCTTCTTCTTTGGGAAAGAGCGTGCCAAAGGGCGCTAAACGCGAATGAGGAAAAAAGAGGGCCAGGGTTTGTACAGATATTAATTCTTTCCTGTATACATGGACAATGAATTGGGTATAAATCGCAGGGATCGAACTACTGGTGCGCTGCTTCCGCCCGTGGGTTTATCATCTCTTTAATTGAGGTCAACGTAGCGTCGTCTAATCGAGAGAAACGTATCTGCAAGCTTCGGTCAGCGATAGTCACCACGAGCTGCCTGTAGGGTCCAGCGATTCAGGGATCACTGAGAGGAGGCTCTTCTTACCGTATCCTCAGTTCCTCCACTTCGGGTCGCATTGCCAAACAATGTTGCTTCCGAATGACTCGCCTCGACCTCATCTTGGACACGCTTAGCCCAAATTCCATCCCAGTGCCAATCACCGGGAAGCCGCGCCTGCGGGGTTCCTCTTTTAGAGCTACTTGTAAAGGCCGAGTTACTGCTATCTTTTCTGTGAGCCTTCCACGCATGCCAAGCGCTTGGATTTCCAGCAGCTTCGAGTGGCAACGAGTCGAGAACTGTTTCGTCATCGAATGTAGAGCGGATATAATTCAATAAAGCAGTAACCGGGACATTTTCCCCTAGTTCCACTAGTTTCTCCTCTGGTGCTGAGGTAGCACTCTCCTCTCGATCAATATCCCCTTGATTCTTCGACGGAGATGTAGGTCTAGAGGCGTCGTTTTGGTGCTGAGGCGAGTCCTTGCCGGCTGCATCAACACCGATATTGGAGCCACTAATACTCACAGCTCTCGAAGAGTCTGCTGAATTGACCACACTTCGTTTACCTCGGCCAAACCAGTGGGGAAATCCATGTCGGAGACTAAATCCGCCAGGCGGTAATCGCTCCTCGTCTGAAGCACTGACGGGATCTTCGCTCGAAGCATTTGTGCTAAAGGTATATGTCGTAAGGGGAACGATCAACGGATGGAATACATCGGTAGAGAAGGTCACCAAAGGTGGGAGATCGGGATATGAAGGTGGAAATCGGATCTGGAAACGGAGGATAGCAGAAGCATATGGACCTAAACATCATCAGAAAAATTAATTAGCTCTAGGTTAGTTACAAGTGGTTTTGCTTATCCTAATCAGAAGAAATATATCATACCACTACGAACGAATAAGACACCCGTCCAAAGAGTAGGATCATTCGGGGCAGGGCTCACATAGAGTCCTGGAGGGGCTGCATGATTTAAACTCGCACTACAGTTGAAGTATGTCAATTTGGCTTCGTTCTGTAACGAAATAAATAGAGTAAGCATAACTCACAATTCCAGGAGAAGTTGGTGTTTACGCAGAGCGGGGATATTAGGCAATCTGGAGGTGGACATATTGCTGCATGAGACGGTGATGCTGCTGCTGAGTTACCGCTTAGGAACACGCGACGGCTACTCTATTTTCTGGCAGAATTATTTGAACGCTTCCGCGGGGTGGCTCATTGAATACCTAATGTACAGAGTATCTTTGGCACAGTCAGCGTCTCCGGTTTATCATACCGTAAAAAGCGATTTGTTTTTCACTCAAAAAAATCCATTGTTGTTCCTGAAATGTACTCATTATGTTACATATTTTACAGATCTAAAGAAGCTTTTTGCTGGAATTCATAGCACCAAAATATACAGTCAAACCCCTTTTCCTCGGTCGGAGGTTCTGAGGTTTGACTATGGCGGTTTCATCAAACCGCCTTCCTATTTCAATAGGGCGGTCAAGCTCCCCAGCATCCTTACAAAAGAAATAGGTTATGTCCGCTATCTCCGAACACCTACTATTACATTTCTCAAGCCCCTTCTCCATTGACTTCTGTGGAAATTCTAGAGTGATAATATTATTATCATGAGTTCCTATCGAGCTAATCCTCCACTGCCTTACGTCTGTCTGCCTCATTAGCTCTACTAATATCCCCTGGTTGTCCAAAATCTCATCTTCATCAGAGTCTCCAACGTCGAACCAAGGATGCTTGTATACATGCCTTTCATTTGCTAGGTACCCAGTTGATCTTAACCATCCAAATATTCCTCGTGTTGGATTCGCTGACAAGTCATCTGACAAGCAATCAATGGAACACTGACTTGGGGTACTCTTGAGGACAGAGTCAATCTGCGTAACATTGTCATCTGGTTGATGGGCGTCAGCCCCACGGGCTTCCAAGCCTTTTCCGTCTGCGAGTTCCCAGTCCCATGCCTGGTACTCTAAACAATGGCAATTGTACTGGGCATGTTTGTGGGCCTCCAGCTCGGAATCGTTAAGCAAAGTTTCCCCGATAGGCCTCCATGGCCACACAGGAGGTCTAGCATAGGAACCACAGCCGATGATATGAAGTAGTCGGCATTCGTCCTCACGTCTGATCACTTTGTCATCACTTACACCTGGTCTCAGCGTAATGAATGGCCCTACTGTGCCTGTCCATGCCGCGGTGTGAAGCTCGACAGCTACACACCCAGTCTTTATAGCCTTAAAGCCTTAACGTTATCCACAAGCATAGCTCCGAGCCACAGTGGCGCTAACTTTGGTAGACGTGTTGCAAGGATTTTGAGGAGCTTCACGATATTCCCTGCCTGCGTCACTGGGTCTAGAACGGCGAATGCTGCACTCATCCAGGCCGCCACCGAGTTACACTCGATGTCTGGGTTGAAGAATACGATGTGAAGCAGGGATCGAATGCCCCACACATCACAGCTTAACATCATGTAGCGAGGAAGAAGGCCGTAGTGCTCATAAGTGTGAATTGATGGAGAGTATGGCAAGTCAAGTGAGTATTTAGAGGTAGCACTCATTTTCGGAGCAGGGAGCGATGTTGACTTGGTCCAAACAAAAGGGATGCAAAGTGCTGTAGACAAGGCCGCCGAGCATTGACCATATACTCCACAGCCCTATGTGAAGAAGGCGGTCTAATTTCGGCGTTCGAAGACTGTTTAGTTCTTAACTGTGTGACGCCAGATATCGCAACAGCCCAAGGCGAGACATACGTCCTCCCGCTATAGTCTTTGTGCTCCATCCTTCATAAGCTGAAAGATTGCTTCCCACCAATGCACTTCATCATCAGTAGCATCATCACCAGTGTCTACTTCAATACTGCTTTGTGGCATTGGGGCCTCACATCGGAGAGACTCTTTCTTGAAGGTAACCATACACCAGTGCTCAGGAGATCTGTTCAACAATGCAGACCATCGAGCACTCCGTATATACGCCCAAGCAAGAAATAATACTGCGATGTAGTTGCCCTCGTCGTACCCCTCAAGACCCTGAACGCCAGGCCATTCTGCGAATGGGACAGAATCTGAGAGCTCTACATTCATTGCAGCTTGAGTCGCAAGCAGAACCGTGCGGTGTATTTCTTTAGGCCCCAGCCGGCAAGTCCCGTGGGAGGTTTTCCAAGTCGAATGACCATTGACGTAAAGAGTTCCTGAGCTCTCGCTGCATTTTAATGGGACTGACTCGTTTTCGGGGATCAACCCATGTCCAAGGAATGATGGCGTTCGGCCGAAGATGCGTTTGAGATCAATGCATTCAATTGGGAGAGTAGTAGGGCCTTCGAGATCGACATAACTGGACCATAATGCATAACTTCCACGTAACACACGATCAAACCTCTCCTTGGTAGGCTTAACAACATCATCATTATCGTCACCCATAGTAAACCGGGGGTAATGTGCCGAACAAGCTGTGGCCTGTCGAATTGTACAGCATTCACAACGACACCGTTAATTAATTGTCACCCCCTGATTGAAAAGTAGAACTGTTCTATAGGGAAAGAAAAGGATGCGACAAATAAAACAATGGATTGCGGTTGTTAACACTAACGCAAGGGGTCTATTTAAATACTAGTAGGCAACAATCAGGCAAACGCACCTGCCCTTATAGCATCCCGACCTCTGTCTCACCAATAGCCTCTGGTCCACCGTCTATTGAACATCTCCACATAACTTATACAGCAATTAAGGGCCAACCTCAAGTACTTGGCATCGGTTGCAGTTGTGTCCCTCCAGCCACACCGGCATTTGGCCGAATGAACCCTAAGATGGTCATGCCCTCGCCAATCCCCTCGTAAATTCCACCTGCAATCCCCTCAACCCACCATGCAGCCAGGCTTGACACCGCAACACCTACTTTCCCATCATGAAGACTGAGGACCGTTGTTCCCAGACTCAAGCTCCTTTTACCCAAGCTATCGGCAGCATCTAGGCTCGCCGACACGACACGCTCGGTAACCCGATGGGACCGTTCGAATTGGTAGAGTCTATGCAGCACAATCTTGAGGTAGGGCATCAGGAACTGAAGCAGGAGAAATAAATGCACAATACTGGAGGCCAGTAGCCGGTGGAGATAAGATCGCTCTGCCGGATGCCTTGTGTTCACAGGTTGATTGACGAAGCCAACTGCAGAAGGTGAAGCGAGAGAGCTGGAAACTCTGCCAGGGAGGGTATTTCTGATTCTTGCAGTTTCTTCGTAAGTCAAGTCGGCAGGTAGAGCCTGAAGAAGATAGCATAGTGCATCCATGTACAATGACCGCACCAGGTGGCTGTCACAATCGCGTCGCTGGGCTTCTACTCCTGCATGTTGAAGGAATTGAAATGCTATATGAAAAGAGTCAGAGGTGGTCTTATACTTGTCTACATCTACAACACATGTTAGTATGTTGATATGGGTGCATACCTGGAACGATATGATTCCAGCGCAGTCCTGACTCCTCTTCATATTTGGACATCGCAAACCCCATAGACTCTACACCTTTTTTCTCTTCGAAAGTTGTGATATAACTAGTATCCGATGACTTCCCGGAAACCGAAGAGCCACACGAGTCATGACCGTTACTACTACTGCCCGCAGTAGCAGGGCGTTGCAGGTCCCCCGAGGCCAAATCGGACTTTTGTCCGTACAATGTCAACTCCGGCTCAGATAAAGATGGAGAGAAGTTATGATCCTTGGGTTTGTGGCTTGTTCTTGCTGCGTTTATATTTGAGTCCGACTGCGCCGCGCGATGGAGCGAAGGATAAAGACGGGGAATGTGCCGCCGAATAGCAGCCGGGAGGAAGTCGGGAAGCCCCTGAGAGAGAATCATTGTGTCTCCCAGAGTTGCCTGCTCGTCCATTGTCTCTATTTTCTCCATAGTTGTCTTTGTGATAAGCGCAGGGCATCAGATGAGGGGCAATTTAAGGTCGGGTCTCGGGTGATAGAAACGAAGCTTGGATCTGACGCAGTAGTGTCATAATATCGGGATAGATGATCACTTGAGTATCACAATTCAGATGAGTCCGTCGTGGAAATATTTTGTGAGCACTTTCCAGCCATGATGAGGGCGAAACTACGGTTCAAATGACGCTGTAGTTGTTTAAACATCCGATCCATGCAGGGAAAAACCGTTGAGGCGCGAAAAACCTCCGAGTTTCACATGTCAAAGTGGCGATCCAACGACTTTTGACCCACAGTTTGAAGTCTTTCCGATAAGGAGACACTAAAGATAGATCCCAACTAGTAAACAAGTCACTGACATCTACAAACCCTAGACGACAGGCAGGCAAACGGTACTTACGACCTACACATCAGTTCCCGACAGCCAACAATTCATTTATAACAAAAAATGATTTATCAAACTGTCCCTGGTATTTCTTAGTAGTAAATTATGTGTCATTCCTAAGATCACGGGTACGCCCTGCCGATGATCACCCATCACATGCAACCAATCATCGGGCTTAGCGCTTACACATTTGCGCCCTTGACGCGATCATTAATTAGACGGAAGGCAAAATCGTCTTGGATTAATTTCATTATATAAACTAACACGCTGCCATGTCGGGAATCGTTGAGAAGCTATGCATGAAAGTTACTGAGACAAAGAAGAAAAGTCCCCCGAGAAAGAAAAACATACATCACGAAACTTTTGAACAGCTCCAAAATCACGGCCCACTATATACATCTCCTATCTCGTCACTCTCAGAAGCCACCCTTACCAGGTGATTGCGGCCCTTGATAAGGAACAGCATCGGTCATCAAAATGTCTGCGTGTTTTGGGCTGGGAATAGGGATGGGTGCAGACCCGACGTTAGAGTCGGGCAAAGTGTCCACTTTACTTTCGTCTCTTCCAGGAAGGAGGTCACCCTCATGCTGGCTGTTTCCCCCCAATTCCAATCCTTGTAAGTCATCCAAATCCAGCTCCCCATAACGGTCATTCAACTGCTGCAGGAACTCAGGATCAAATCCCATTTGCACGAACGGGTCCACTGAGCCGCTCATAGGCGTCGAAAATGATGAGACACCAGCTGAGAGACTACTTCCCCAATCAGTGGATAAGCCAGAATGTGCCACAGGAGGTACCATTCCAAAGCTACCAGCGTAGCTACCATTTGAGCTCGCTGGAACGCTCGCTGCCGCTGAGGACCGACCCGTGCTTAGGAATGCGGGACTCTGGAAGCCAGAGCTAGAGTGACTTTGGCTGAAGGGAAGACGATGGAATATACTCCGAGCTACGGAGTTGGTCTCAACTGGCGGGCGCCGTAGACCACCTTGGGCAGCATAAGGTGGTTGCATCCCCAAGTTAGCGAATTGAACATCCTCTGAGCCCGGAACGTCTTCAAGTCCAGCGACACGTTTAAGAACTCCAAGCCAGACTGGGTTATCCGCGCAGGTCTGGTTCCAAGGATCGGCATTATCATAGATGATGCGCCGGGCTTCATCTTGAAGCATCTGATCCGTTGGGGTAACACCAGCAGCCATACGGTTATGTATAAAAACCATTAGTTCGCGCTGGAGACGCTCATAGCAGTTGGCGTCTCCTGGCACGGTCAAGCTTGGCGATTGCCCTGTGGCGCGTGAAGGTTTGTAAGGATCCAATGTCAACTTTTCCTGGCCGATGAGGTACGGGGGCATCGCGTTCTCGACCAAGTTTTCGACATCGGGATCGAAACCCCAATCTCCCTGCCATTGAGTCATGTCGGCACCACTCTTGAAATGGGAAGCTAGGTGGTCAACTCGGTCTTTCCACGTTGTGAGAATAGTTGCACAGAATCCGCACCGCGATCTTATCTCGCAGGTATTACTTCGCCATTTATCCATTGAAGGGTGGAACTTCACGTCATGCACCAACCTCAGATGTTGATTGAGATGGTCCTTGCGATAGAAGGCTCGCTCAGAAGGCGATTTCTCTTGGCATGTACTGAAATTGTGCGATTCAAGATGGTCGTTATCAGGATTAGCCGCCATACAGAATACACAACGGTTTGCGCCGTCCAGGAAAACTACACCTCCCTGAGGCGAGCAGGTCCACTTCTCCAATGCTAAGTGCAGCGATTTCTCATGTCGTTGCCAATCATACTTGGTCTGGAAGGAGTCGGCACAGAATGTACACTGGAAGATACGAGTGCTGCGAGTCTTTTGTTGATTGAAAGCGTTCACGGGTGCTGGAGCTTTACGGCGGCGACGACGTTCCTTTCGGTCCATGGAACCGAATGACCCCAATGAGGATCTATGGGAGAAGGCGGAGGCGAAGGACAGGTCAGATATAGATGAGTGGGTGGCTGACCGACTTGTCTCTAAGCTACTAATAGAAGGGGCACGGAATATATTTGAGTTGCCATGGCTTGAGTCATTGCTTGACCCAGTCTTCCGAGAATGTGAGCGCACGTGACTCGATTGAGACGGTCGCTGCCGAGCAGAATCTAAAGGAGTGTTCACCAAGGCTCGGAGAATATCAGATGTAGCAGCAGGTTCGTTTTCAGGTGGGGAGTGCTTCCAACGCTCAAGTGGAGTCATGAGAGTTATATCCAGTTGTTGTTGCCTCGGGATATCCATAGCACCGGGAACCGGAGAGCTGCTGCGTGGAGCGGGACGAACTTTACCACGCCGTCTGGCATTGGCAAGCCAATTGCAAATTTGAGTCCGCTTCAGCCCTGTACGCTGCTTCAATTCATCCTTCTCCTGCTCGTTTGGATACGGGTGGTCGCTATGCTCGTATAACCATGTCTTGAGAACGCGGACTGCGTCGCGCGAAAGTCGCGAACTACCTTTTCCCCCGCGACCATCGACATCGCCAACAAAGGTTGCACCGTAAGCCGATTTAAGTGCTTTCTTCCCCGTTAAGCCACCGGTTGGAATGTAGGTATTCTCATTGATCGGGTGTAACGTGTCCAGAAATTTACCAGGTGCTTTGGCATGGGTGAAACTACACTCTCGGTAGAGCGAGATGCAACAGGTACACCCACTGTTTTGCATGACACCCCTGTTGGCAACAAAACAGTCCAGTCCCATGTTCCTGCAAAAGTCACAAGGCTCTTTAGCACGACCCATGGGATAGACACCGTTATCCATGACCGGACCCGGGGATTGCTTGATGGCGGGTTCAACATCTTGCTCCGGCAAATTGTTAGGGAATTCCGAGGGTTGATCCAGTAGAAGTGACTTGTAGTTGGCAACAGCATCGTCATTTTCATCGAAATCCCTGCTGTCCGAAGCCACATCATCGTCACGAACTTGAGACTGGGACCCATACGAGGCCCCATCGAAATCAAAGAACTCCATTTTCGTGGTGATGCTCCAATTTAACTCCGTTACGAGTCAACTAGAAGCTGTGGTGCTTCAGTGGCACCAGTCTAGGGAAATGAAAATAATCAATGCAGCCTCAATGGGAAACAAATCGCCGATGAATAAAGATAACGGTTAATACTGAGAGGGAATGGGTAGTGGGGGGAGGATGGACGACGGGGTCTGAGAAGTAGGATACGGTTTTTTCGTCTGGGGTATCAAAAGCATGCCGAAACCAACCCTGCTACTAGTACTAGCACCTTCGATGTTTGGACCACATCCTTCTACCTGTCTTTGGTCTTGGGACACGCCTTCAGAGCGTGAAGATCGTATTCGGCCCCAATCGGCACCGCCGAAGACCCATATCAAATTATAGAGATAACGACTTTATCGATAACCCATGGGCATGGTGATCTCGGTTATCCAATGGCTGATTGACAGCGAGAAAGAATCAAAGAAAGACTGGGTCACGACTCATCTGCACGCCCTTCCAATGACAACGCCATGCCTCTTTCGGCCAAACATGTCTGTGCGGGGGTTTTCCCACGCCCGGACTAACCCAAGATAGTAACAATGAATCATCGGGCCGTTTTCTCCGACGATATCGGAGCCCGGAGTTTGAGAAACTCTCCCCCTACTAAGTACAAGTACATCCAAATATTCGATCTTCTCCTCCGTACGGAGTATGCTGCGAAGAATTAACAAAACAACCGAAACTTGGCATGAAATCAAGCGTTATCGATTCTACATAATTGCGGCTCCCATATTTACTGTCCTTGCCCATGTGATATCTACACACTGCCCCATGTTTCATAAGCTCTTGCGCTAATGCAAACGCCATCACCCGTTAAATATACTAAACACGGATGGTCATTATGGGGCCACTACGACTAGTTTACCTACGACTACAATACATCACCCTATATCTAATCCTTGGTCAACTTTTCGGCCTAAGGGGAGTACACAGATATTTGCTGCTGCAGGTATCAAGCTTTGTCATAGTTAGCGTAATACCGCAACTCCGATTCTAACCATTCTCTGGGGGGAGCATGTCACCTCTGACGAGCTACATTATGACCTCGCCTGGCTGACGTGCCAAAGCTTCTCAGGTTCAATACATGAGACACTTTGTGATTAGATGTCAGGCAGTCATGTCTTGGTTTGATGGTATAGCACGGCATATCTATCAATCCACAGGAGACCATGAGACGATATACTTCCTGTGTGGGAAATGCATAGAATGAGGCAATGTCACATGTGAATATGTACGTGCAGGCCATGCGCGGTCTACGAATCTAAATATCATGGCGCTCTGGCAAGTACGTTCTATACCCTTTTCCATATTACCGGGTTGCACCAATGTTGGCCCCCGCGATGCGGGCTTTAGGCTCCCGAACTGACTTGCTTGGGGAGCATACCGAATAAGTCTCCTAAACACATCTTCGGTACATTCCAGTCTCTCTACTGTATATGCGTACAGGAGAAGACTCCATACAACTATAAACATCTGTTGTGTGTATGTGTCTATTCATTGCCTGACGTTACATGGAGGCTGCGCTTAACCAGTAGCAACTGATCATCACTGCTGAGTAAACTACCATTCGATGACAAGGATGGGGCTGGAGGCTGCGATGAGTACCTACGTCGATCCAGTCAGTATAACTAGGGATTGCCAGAACAACGACATAAGTACATACTACATGGCGCGGGGTTACTACAGTCCCATAACAAGTTCGGGGGTGATCGATACTCGTTTCTGCTGTATGATATAGACTGGTGAAAAAGGGAGAAGAGAAGAAGCGCAAAGGGTCTAGTATTTATTGATTGGACTGAGATAAATAATCTGCACAATGTTTGGTAGAGACTATCGTAGACTAATTACCAAGTCAATTGGACAAAAAAGTGATTCCGATACGGGGAATCGAACCCCGAGCTGCTGTGTGAGAGACAGCGATGTTAGCCATTACACCATATCGGATGTTGTTGAAGAGTGACTTCGTATCTTTATATATAAACCAGTT